GTAGTAGTAGTAGTAGTAGTAGTAGTAGTAGTAGTAGTAGTAGTAGTAGTAGTAGTAGTAGTAGTAGTAGTAGTAGTAGTAGTAGTAGTAGTAGTAGTAGTAGTAGTAGTAGTAGTAGTAGTAGTAGTAGTAGTAGTAGTAGTAGTAGTAGTAGTAGTAGTAGTAGTAGTAGTAGTAGTAGTAGTAGTAGTAGTAGTAGTAGTTGTTGTTGTTGTTGTTGTTGTTGTTGTTGTTGTTGTTGTTGTTGTTGTTGTTGTTGTTGTTGTCGTCGTCGTCGTCGTAGCTGTCATCACCGTCTCGCACACACGCAAATGGTCGATTGCAGCCTGATCAAAGGAGTCCCCGTTGACCGCAAATTCGATTGTCATGCTCTCACCCACATACGCTGCGCTGGCTGGCACGCTCACCGTGACCTCCATCTCGACCTGTTGACCAGGCAGGATACCAAGTTCTTCTTTCGTGGCCGTGCTGCTTCGAACGAGCTGTTGCGATGTGCTGGAGGTGACGGAAAATGTGACGCTGTCTGGGAACGAAATGGAGCGGTCATTGCGCCACAACACAGCAAACTGGAACGTGTAGTTGCTGTTGCCAGCCATGACGAATGAGGTGAGGGTTTGAGCCACCCTTGCATCTGGCTTGATGAAGAGGACCTGCGTGCCATCTCCAGGTGCAACAAGGGTGCCATCCGGCAAGCTGTCGTCGAATGCGGTGGGAGGAGGAAGAAAAGTGCCAGCAGTTCCCGTCACTGTCCAGCCGAAGGCATAAAGGTAGAAGTTGTTGCTCGCTGTGGACGCGTCATCTGCCTCAAACGAGTTGTTCTCAACATACTGCCATGTGCACGTGCCATCAGTATGCGTTGTGCTTGTTGAGGTCGGCATGGCGGTGGTGTACGCAGGCTCACTCCCGGCCTCAGTGCTGACACGGATGTTGTCAAACACGGCCTGGGCAACGCTATCCCCGCCTTGTGTGAAGAGCACAAGCTGCAGCAGCTCGCCCCGAGCCGTCGCGTCTGCTTCAGACGCCTGGTACGCCAAGCACTCCCACATGAAGGCGCCACTGGGGACATCTGACTGCAGGGTGGAAGCGGTGGCAAGGACGAGGCCCGATGGCCACGCGCGAAGCTGAGCCACGGCCGACGACGGAAATGCTCGATCGAGCCGCTTGCCGACTGCATAGCACAGCTCGTACGTGCTGGCAGGCCCTATCGGTGGCGCATCAAGGATCTGACTGGCGCTTGCGTTGGCAGATGCGACGAACAGCGCTTGCGTTCCAAGAGCAGGCGGCGGCATGGCAACATTGACTCCGGTGACATTGAAGGTGGTTGCATTGGGGCGAAGTGTACCGGCTGAGCCAACAACGTCCCAGCCGTGCGCAAAAGAAGACCACTGCACGCCGCGTGCGGCAAGGTCGTCGTGCTCAAAGCTGGGGTTGGCAACAATCGTG